TTTCTTTCTTTATTCATGGATCTTGTTTTTTGTACTCATGTCGGTTTCATTGTTTCTAGAGTACAAAGTGTAAGTTTTACTTACGAGATCTTGGATGAGGAAGCGTTTGCACTTTGCAGTCTGCACAGATATCAATTTATCTCCTTTAGTTTGTTTTTAACACACCCAATTGGTTTGAAAAGTAGTTACTCAACGATGGCTTTGCCAAAGCAAGGTCCTTGATGATCTGGATAAGGACTTATGTTTGCTTTATATTGCTGCTTCATTTAGTTATTTCCAGCTGAATTTTCAGAACCCAGTTTCTATCTTGATGTGAATTTACTGAACATGTGATACTATGCTGGGAATATTCATGGTGTTTCCTACTTATTGGAAGCTTAGGTCCATCTTATTTGCTTTAAGGGACTTAGATCAGATCTTTCTTAGCGGTTGATAGATTTTGTATTCAGTAGAAGTAAATTTTGTTTGTTTATGATCTGATTCAGAAAAATGGCTTCTCACATTGTTGGATACCCTCGCATGGGCCCCAAGAGAGGGCTCAAGTTTGCTTTGGAATCTTTCTGGGATGGGAAGAGCAGTGCTGATGACTTGAAAAAGGTTGCAGCTGATCTTAGATCATCCATCTGGAAACAGATGGCTGCTGCTGGGATCAAGTACATACCCAGCAACACCTTCTCTTACTATGACCAGGTGCTTGACACTACCGCAATGCTTGGTGCTGTTCCACCAAGATATGGTTGGCATGGTGGTGAGATTGGATTTGATACCTACTTCTCCATGGCCAGAGGAAATGCCTCTGTTCCTGCTATGGAAATGACTAAGTGGTTTGACACCAACTAGTAAGTTCTCACTCTTGTTTACGCCTTCTAAACTTATTGAGCTTTAATTTTGTCATAGTAGTACTTATTATGCGGTGTGCAACCTGTTAAATCAGCCATTTCATCGTTCCTGAGTTGGGACCTGAAGTGAACTTCTCCTATGCTTCTCACAAGGCAGTAGATGAGTACAAGGAGGCTAAAGCTGTAAGTTTTGGGGCTAACATTTTATACACAGTGTGTTTCATTTTCTTTAAAAAAAAATATATTTGTATATCACTTAGCTTGGTTGAATGCTAGTCTGCTTTATGTTAAGAGGCAGGATTAAATTTGAGGAGGGCAATTCATGTTATGTAGATTTATAAAATATGGAAAACTGAATTTCTTTTGTTGTTTAAAATTTGCTGCTGAATCTTTGGATTCTTTCATTCTTCTAAATCCATTTGAAGGTATACCTGAAATTGATATTTAATTTTGATGATTGAAATGCACCATATTGTCAGGGTTTTGGAAATGTAATCTCCAAATATGATTGCTCAGTCCTTTTTTTTTCTTTTTTTTTTTAAATGATAATTTTCTCTAAGATTTATACAATAGTTGTCTAGGGGTATTTGTACAATGTTGATCATGGGAGAATGCCATGGGGATGGGAACTGGTGGTGACTACATTGTTAACCCAACTGACCATGGTGTCTGGTTAACCTCTATGTTATTCTAATTATTTGATATTTGTAGTATTGTGTATCTTTTTGTTAAATTATTCATATCTTTTAGAAGCTGAATGTCTGTCTCTCATGCAGCTTGGAGTAGACACTGTCCCAGTTCTTATTGGTCCTGTCTCATACTTGTTGTTATCTAAGCCTGCAAAGGGTGTTGAGAAGAGCTTCCCTCTTCTCTCTCTTCTTGGCAAAATTCTTCCCATCTACAAGTAAGAGCTAGGAATAAATAATCTATTCATTATCCATTTATCTTTGATTTGAGTTAATGTGAATGCTTTAATTGTTTTTCTAATCTTCAGGGAAGTTATATCTGAGCTTAAAGCAGCTGGTGCCTCCCGGATTCAGCTTGACGAGCCTACTCTTGTATTGGATCTTGAATCTCACAAATTGCAAGCATTCAGTGGTGCTTATGCTGAATTGGAATCAACTCTGTCTGGCTTAAATGTTCTTATTGAGACCTACTTTGCTGATATTCCTGCTGAGGCATACAAGACCCTCACTGCCTTGAAGGGTGTTACTGCTTTTGGGTTCGATTGGGTTCGTGGAACCAGGACTATTGATTTGATCAAGATTGGCGAGACGCTCCACATGGGAGGTGAAAAGAAGGAGGAGCACAAGGGGGAGCATAATGAGGAAGGTCACAAGGGCGAACACCATGTGGAGGGTGGTCACAAGCCTGAGCATCACGGTGAAGGGCACAAGCATGAGGAGCACAAGGAGAGGCTGGTGGACAAGATCAAGGACAAGGTCCATGGCAAGCACGGTGAGGAGGGGAAGAAGAAGAAGAAGGAGAAGAAGAAGAAGCACGAGGATGGCCATGACAGCGGCAGCAGCGACAGCTTCACCAAGAAAGGCATTAGCAGCATGCTTCATATTACTGAATTACTTTTAGCAATATGGCTATCACTTTCACCGACGTGCTTCCATGATACTGAGTAATGGAAATTTAGTAGTCATGAACTAAATGGTATATGAAAGTCATTTAGTTCTGTCTGCATTAGTAATTTGCTCTTTCTGCAAGAAAGGCATTAGTAATTTGCTCTTTCTGCATGCTTATGATTTTGAATAGTCATGAACTATCCTCCACTGGCATTCTTACCATATTTCATGGCGGAACTTTCACACCACGCATCAAATATCCTAAATAATATGTGAAAATCATATGGTGGACACGGAGAGGTCATCTCTTTGTCCGAAATTCAGGTGTGACCTCCCCCGACAGATCATCATCATCACTATTCCTTCCCATCCATATGAAGCCACGTTATCCTTCCCAATGCAATCGGAATAATTACACAACTCCCTAAACTCCAAAATCGAAGAAATTTTGAAGAAAGTTATATAGCTCAAAACATTTTTGAGGAATCTAGGGAATAG